ATAATTCAATGTTAACTCTGATAAAAATGAACTGGTTATTTGATTTAAAAAATAATGTTTCTGGTGTGCAATTTTGTATTAAACTTGTAAGGCTTTGAAGCATATTAATTTGCATACATCTGATGAAACACTCTTCTGCTGTTGATTTGTGTAAAGGTTTTGACAGTCTGGACCCCCTCTTTCTTCTTGAGCATGCTGAAATTAGAAAAAATACATCAATCAAGTCAGATGGACAAAATCCATGTCAAAGGGAATCAAACCACAGCTGTCCTGTTCAATATCTGCCAATTGGCTGGTACATTTTGATTTGAAAATGTCCACCCCTGTGTGGAAGTGGGATGTACCATGTATATCACCCCTGTTTACATGTGTATCTGCATGGACATCTTTCAAAATTGGAAACTATCTGTATTGTTTGCAAATTAAGACAAAGAATGGATATTACAGTTGTCTGACTTACGTCTTACTCAGAACAATTGTTCACATTCATCACTGTTATTTCATTTTTCCATGCATAGTTTTAGACAGAACTACAATTCATTTTGTATGGTGACACAAGATTATATAATTATCTTATATTAAAATCCATGGCATAGGACATGTATAAGTATACATTTTAAGTCACGGAATTGGCCAATTGCTCTCTAAATCTGTCTTTTAATCATAGAGACTGCAAGATCGGACCTGTGTTATTTTATCTACGACTTTTGAAAAAGCTTCAGCTTAAATTAATTAACTCAATAAGCCTAGCCATATAACTTTAAATATCCCTTCACCAACACTTTCGCAATACAACTTTGGCTGTAATTATATGTTAATAGAGAATTATTTATCTATTAAAATTTATTTTCCAGTGGATATCTCCCTAGCCTAGTGAATCAGTACGAAGGAAACTATGAAAACGATATAACACTGGCCTTGTTATTAAACAATTTGAAACACAAAAATCAAAATATACAATTAATCGTTGAGAATAATAGGGATTTGTCAACGAGCAAATATGCCTTTGATTTTAGGCACTCATGCATATGGCGGCCATTATTGAAAACACACTGATTAACAACTGTTTTCAGAATACAAATACTACAAAATCAAAATATAGGTTCACTTATAACCACAGGTTGCAATAAAAAAACATATAAATGAACAATTTGGTTTAGTCCGTATGTCAAAATAATCTATTTATTAGCAAGATAAGTAGATGTCGATGGCGGGTAAATGCAAGACGATGAAAGAATTGAAATCACACGCTATTGCATCACGATGAATTTTGGTCTATATTCAGAGCCTTAAAAACACACTTTCTAGATTGAAATCGTTTTGTGTACATGATAATATACCAGATTGTAATTATGTAAACAAATTATTACAAATTTATTATCAATTACCAAGAATTACATGCATTCATGAACCCACCCGCGATCGGTAATCTAAGGCAAAATGGCGGCCATTATTAAAAACACACTGATTAGCAACTGTTTTCAGAATACAAATACTACAAAATCAGAGATATGGGTTCACTTATAAACACAGGATGCAATAAAAAACATATAAATGAACAATTTGGTTTAGTGCGTATGTCAAAATAATCTATGTATTAGCAAGATAAGTAGATCTCGATGGCGGGTGTGAAGCCATAAAATAATTTAAGTTGGCAATGCTGTATGTTTACTATAAACTTTCGCATTCTGCGACATTTCTCTGGTATTCGACACAACAAACATTATTAAATTTAAACAGAAGTATAGCAAAGACCGCTTACTTTGAAATCCGGACAATGTAACGGTACAGATAGCCCAAAATGTATCACTTCTGAACGGCAATCAATTTCTTCGATGATGAAAGCGGCGGTTTTTTCCCCAAATCACGTAAATTCTCACGCTTTCTCGCAGTTTCTCGCATCATCAAAGTGCACGGCACATATTTCCTATGCCGAAGAGGCAGTTGACTTTCCCTCTAATCTAATTCCGTGCCTGACCACATGCAACATTTGAAATGTATATGGCAAGTGCAATGTCATGCATTGCATCACAGAAATCCGAAATTATGTCAGAAATAAATAATAACAGCACAGTGGAAACCGCTTATTATGATATTCTATTTGCCAGAGAAAAATAACATAATAAACCAAAAATATGACCAAAAAATGATTAAGCTGTTTTCGATCGTTTTTATGTTATCTAAACCGGAAGTGAGTTGCCCTATAATCATTAGAAATAGATTTATGTGAGAAGATTTCATATCGTCGTCGTAATGATCAGTTTGTAAATTCTACTTTCACTTTCAAATAACTTCGAGCAAGAACTAAAAACTACCGTTATACTTCATCATAGCTAACGATATCGTAATGTAACAGTCAATAAGATAAAAGAAGTGATATAAATAGTCATGATATACCTGTTTTGCGCCGCGCGGTTGCGTTACATTTTGGCCCGTTAGTGTCATACTATTTTGCCGCGCTATGTTAATTACGATCACGTGACAATCACATGCCTCGCAAGTCGTGTGGTGAAATCAAATTGCATAGAAACAATAACAACTAAAAACACGAATTGTTTCTTTTTAACAATAATCAAATATTCTTTTAAACGAAAATAGTGTATAGTGTAAATAACACAGTCGTCGTCAGTTGTTTACGACAATAACGTTTATGTTGGATCGATTTCCGGCACCATGCTGTCAGGACGGCATGCCCCGATTTTTACACTTTTCAACGTCAACACGGGGAAATCAACTTGTTATGCAATAGAGAATAGGAAAGCCATTGCTTTAATGATTAAGAAGAGGCATATGGGCCTTAGCGGTCACCTGAGTTCTGATATATTTATACAAGGAGTTGATTTTTGTTTTTAAAACATGAACAGAAATATTATTCAAAGTCAAAACCACCTTATTAAATATCTAGCATACAGATTTAAGACTGAAAAGTATTTGAAACAAGCACCTCTGATTTTAAACAAGGAAAATGAATAATGTTTAGCACACTGACTCCTTTGGGCCCCGCCCTAAAGTCCTTAGGGGTAGGGCTAACTCAGAATTTCCAAAATATCAAACTGTCAACTCAGAGTTACAATTCCAATCAAGTTATCAACATGTAATATCCAAAGTATCATTTGCCAATATGAACCATAATACATTTTGCCAACACCCCACGACCCCCAAAATGTGATTTCCCTATAAAACTATGGTAAAGTTTACCCCCTCCACAGGGGGAAACGTGAGACCCCAGGGTCATGAAATTCACAATTTTGGTAAAGCGCCTTAAGACCCATCCATCTAACGAAGAGTATTTGAGTCTACCATATCTCGGTCTTGAGAAGATTTTTTGGGAAATTTCAGTCAATTTGACCCTGTTTGGCCCCATCCATCAGCCCCTGGGGTCAGTCAGGGCTGATATGTGCATACCATCAAAGGGCTTTCGAATACTGATAATGCTAACCCAAATTGAACTACTTAAAATGAAAATTAAACAAATGTTGGTCCAAAGTCCAAAATAGTAAAGTTTACCCCCTCCCCAGGGGGAAACGTGGGACCCCATGGTCATGAAATTCACTATTTTGGTAAAGAACCTTAGACCCTTCCATCTATGAAGAGTATTTGATTCTATCATATCTGGATCTTGAGAAGAAGATTTTTAAAATTTAAGTCATTTTGACCCTTCTTGGCCCCGTCCCTCAGGCCCCTGGGGGCTTGGGACAATACAATTCACAATTATGGTTGACCCTAGGCCATGGAAAGTTTCTGCAAAATTTCATTGAAAATGGTTCAGGGGGTATTGGAGAAGAAGTCGAAAATGTAAATTGTTTACTGACGCACGACGCCGGAGAAAAGGCGATCGCAATTGGTCACTTGAGACTTTGTCTCAGGTGACCTAAAAACACACACGTCTTCCTTCTGGAGTATCTGATTTTCTCACATAACGTGTCAAGGCAACCGTTAATATTAATGGGAGGCATGCTCGTTTTCTTATCAGAATTTGTGTCAGGCAGGTTAACGGAGCCATGTAAGAGATGATTTTAATAAGATTGGCCTTATCATTTCCATTTTATACACAGTCCTACAGTGTATTTTAGATAGCAATTGACTACTGCACATGTTTTGTTATGACAAGAAAGCGATGGTCGATCTATTGTTTTCCACTGACGGGGGAGAAGCGAGGTGTTAAATTTTTAACTGAGTGGACAGTTGATCACCGCGGGCGATGTACAGTTAGCCGGTTGTTTCAATTGTCCTGGTGTCAAACACGGACAACTTACCTGAGTTTTTACCTATAAAATCCATTCACGGCAGAAAAAAATATAATAAGCGGGGTCCAACCTTTGACCATATCATAATAAAAGATTTGTTTTGCTAAGATAAAGGATAAAATCGGTACATGGGAATTTTTTTATAATAGCGACATCATAATAAGTAGGTTCCACTCTAGTACAAAAAAAACTCCTATAATATAGCAAAGATGTATTTTCACAACATAAAACAGTAAAAAGAAACACTGCGTTTTTAAATTGAATAAATGTGTAACAAGTTTGTAACAAACATTTCTTTCAATCCCTGTCGTGAACATACCACATCATGTTTCATTAATACTGATAAAATATCTTGTGATGTACATGTTTGATAGAGAAAATGTCACACTCTTTTACCGTTCATTATCTGTAAACAGTTCATGGATATTATCAAAATTTATGTGTAATTCCAAAGATATGTATATTACAATAATATATACGTCTCTACTAGTACTTAATTTTGACTTGTGTTACAAAAGCGGCACAAAATCATCTAAACTCTGACTGATTGGGTTAGTCTAATATTACAGCTGAGGGAGATAAAGCTTTACAAATATGGTTCGACCCTACAAATAGTTCGACTTCATTCAAATCCGGCTGATCAGGTTAGTCCAATGTTCTACTAAGGGAGATAAGGTTTTGCACAAATACAGGTAAACCGCGGCGGTGACCTTTGGCCACATCCAGCCAGCTCGGCTGCTTTCTGTTTTCTCAAATCAACCATGCTGAAGGATCACATGAGATGACGTAGAGGGTCACGTGACATCAGACTAGAGGTTTTTGTTTACGTGAGAAGACACTCAATTTTTTCGTGGATTTATTTGCAAATTTGAACTGTTTACTAGACGGTTTGGCTTGCTTAAACAACGCTTTTGTTTTTGCTATTGTGCGGTGTTTGTTGTGACACGTTGTATGTGTGGTACGGTAACGTGTTTACCCACGTGGGTCTGTTTTTGTTTTGCGACCCTGAACTTTGATCGTCATGGCTGACGAATCAGTAGTAGCCCTCGAGGCATCTGGGACAGGCATCATAGCCATAAACCCTCACTTGGGCATCATAGCCCCGGACAGTGAGATCGTGACGACTCGCATTTCGTCCCCGCCAACATTACGGCGATTTGGTGCACCTAGTGCAACGTCAACATTTTCGAGATGTGCAGACAAATCCAATATGGCGTCTATTAGACATTCGACACAAGTCCCTTCACCATCACCCAACATAACTTATGCAAATGAGCCTGTTGCGGAAAGTCTCGCGACAGGTCGCGAGACTCAGCCTGTTTCCGGTTTAGACATGGCGGCACTCCTAAGACAAAACCAGGAGGTTATGCTACAACAAAGTAAATTGTTGCGAGATCTCCACTCAAAGGTGCGAGATATTGAGAAAAGAAAGTCTGATGTGCACGATGATCGCACTGAGGCATCGAAGCGACCTCGGAATGAAATCACTAGCCAGCAAGAGGATTATACATCCGCGTTGGACGCACTTCTCGGCGACAAAGATCAACACTCCCATGATCATAGTGAAAGTGGTTACGAATGTGCTGATGACTCGTCTCACCACGAATCGGTTACATTGGACGATGATCGCTCCGTTGTCGATGTCGAGGTGTCTGAGGACAATCGTTCTGTTCTCCAATCCCTACAGGATTTCTTGGCTAATGCTGAAAAGACGGGGCCCGCTATCAGTCCTCCACTAGCGGACATGGCCAATAATGGTTTTCGTTCTCGTGTGTCTGAGGACAAAGTTAAAGAACTCACCATGAAATATAACAAACCAGCAAACGTTGACAAATTAACAGTGGCACGTGTTAATTCCGGTGTATGGAACACACTCCGCAAGAGCACAAAGGATTTGGACGCAAAATTACAGCGGTATCAAACGCTTTTATCAAAGGCTTTCTGCCCACTACTCCATTTGATGGACAGTTGTTTCAAAGCAAGTAAGGAGGGTAAAGGCATGTCTCACACACAGGTGAATGAGACACTATCCATGGCCAACGACACATTCAAATTGTGCCAAATAGCGTTCACAGATATGAATTATCGCTGACGCTACATTATTCGGCCTGATTTAAAGCCACAGTACAAAGAACTATGTGCGGATAGCAACCCTGTCACAGAACATCTCTTTGGTGATGACCTAAACACGCAACTCAGGGAGATTGATACTGCGCGTCGAATGGGTAAACAGGTTTCCAAAACTTACCCAAATAAACGGCCTCATGAACTGAGTCACCGACCAGCCAACACTCCTCGACAGGGGTATCACTCTGGGTATCACCATGGTTACCAACAGAGTAATACTTGGAATCGTGCCCCCAGGCCAAGATTCCTGTATCAGGGACAGCAATCCAACCAGGGTAGCAGTTTTTTATCCAAAGGCCAAACCCACAGAGACAAAAAGAAAAAACTGTAGACCCTGTACCGCCAGATTCTGCTGATCAGGTTGGTATTTGTTCACAGACGTTTGATAGCCCATCTTTGCAGTTACCTACATTTCTGAATACCCCTGAACATTTTTCTGGTGGTCAGCTAAGACACTATCAACAAAAATGGCAGCAAATCACATCTGATAGATGGATTTTAAATGTGGTAAAGGGTTATTGTATTGAATTTGAGACAGAACCCTCTCAGACCGTTAGACCTAGCACCCTGCCTTTTAGTGCGACAGACATACAGATTATTGATGAACAGATTGACAAATTACTCCTTAAGGAAGTGATTGAAGTAGTGCATGCCGACACATCACATTTGACTGATGGATTTATATCCAATATTTTTATTCGGGCCAAAAAGGATGGTACGCATAGACTGATTCTGAACCTTAAATCTTTAAATGAGACAATGGAATATCATCATTTCAAAATGGACACACTGAAATCATTATGACAAAAAACTGTTGGTTTGGTTCCATTGACTTAAAAGATGCATATTATACGGTTAATGTAGATGCAGCTTACAGAAAATTTTTGAGATTTGTGTGGAGAGATAGTTATTTCCAATTCCGATGTTTACCAAATGGCCTCTCATCTGCCCCACGAGTTTTTACAAAACTACTCAAGCCTATGTACTCGCATTTAAGAAAATTTGGCCACACAAATGTGGCATACATTGATGACAATTTGATTCAAGGGGATAGTTTTGAGGAATGTGAAAGGAATATCAGGGATACCACAGATCTGGTAGATTCTTTGTGTTTCACTATCCATCCCGATAAATCAGTTTTTATCCCCACACAGGAGATAGAATTCCTGGGGTTTTTGCTTAATTCTAAGGACATGACTGTGAGACTGACCTCAGCCAAAGCCAATAACATTGTTGATGAATGTCGTTCAGTTCTTGGGAAAGGTGCTATTACTATTCGTCGATTAGCTCAACTGGTAGGGAAATTGGTAGCTTGTGAGCCAGGTGTTCAGCATGCTGTGGTACACTATAGAACATTGGAACAGGAAAAAGATCGTGCTCTTAAACATCATTTTGGACAGTTTGAGGGGGAAATTCTATTATCACGATCGTCCAAGTGTGAAATTCAATGGTGGATAGACAATCTAGCCAGTAGTTCAAAACAAGTGTCTATGGGACCTCCTGACATGATACTGAAAACAGATAGTTCAAAAACAGGTTGGGGTGGTGTCGTAGAGAACACTCAACTTAAGACAGGAGGACACGGGTCATACAATGAACAGAACCTACACATTAATGTGTTAGAATTGACAGCAGCTTTTTTGACATTACAATGTTTCTGTGCTACAAAGACTGACATTCACGTTCAACTGTTTATGGACAATACAGTCGCGGTGGCTTATCTTACCCATATGGGGGGCAAGACAGACCTATTAAATGACCTGGCAAGGAACATTTGGTTTTGGTGCATAAAAAGAAATATTTGGCTGAGTGTGGCCCACTTACCTGGCAAGCTTAATGTAGAAGCGGATCTTATGTCAAGGTCACTTCATGATGATATGGAATGGAAGTTGGATAGTGCAGTATTCTCTGTTTTATGTTCTATCTACGGTGTTTGTGACATTGATTTATTTGCATCAAGACTCAATTATCAGTTAGAAAGATATGTATCATATTTGCCAGATCCTCACGCTAGAGCTGTTGATGCTTTGTCATTTCCCTGGGAGCATTACATTTACTATGCTTTTCCTCCTTTCAGTCTACTAGGAAAGGTCATTCAAAAGATTCGGACAGATCAGGCAACAGTGGTATTGGTGGCACCGCTGTGGACCACACAATCATGGTTTGCACCGTTGTTGAAAATGGTGGCTGCGGACAGCTACATCCTCCCACCAATCCAGCAATTCTTGAGTCTCCCAACAAGAGTGGGAAGGAAACATCCATTGGTGAACACCAGACTAGCTGCATTCAGGTTATGCGGGATACCCTCAGTCGTAGAGGATTACCAGAGGACGCTATCCAGGTCATCTTGTCTTCCTGGAGGAGCTCAACTCAAAAACAATATGGGACATATCTCCAAAAGTGGCTGTTGTTTTCTAACCAAGGGGAGATTAATTCACTTAACCCATCTCCCGAACAATTAGTGGCATTTTTGAATTCATTTTTTCGAACAGGATTAAGATACAGCGCGATTAACACTGCACGTTCAGCAGTATCAACATTCTTGACTATAGTGAATAGTGACTTGAGTCTCGGTAGCCATCCTTTAGTGACTAGATTTTTAAAAGGGGTGTTTACTAAGAGACCAGCTCTGCCACGATACAAAGAAACTTGGGATGTGGCAGTAGTGTTATTTATCTTCTTTGTGCCCTGTTAGTGCATTATCGCTTAAATTTCTAACATGGAAGCTGTCTATGCTTTTGGCATTAGTTACAGGACAACGTGGGCAGATTTTACATCTTTTTAGTTTAGATGATCTTAAATTTAGTGTAGAAGGTGTTACTATTATTTTAGTGAGTTACTGAAAACTTCAAAACCTGGACATCATCAGCAACCAATGTTGGTAGAATACTTTAAAGAGGATACCAGGTTATGTGTTGTGCAGACTCTTTTAGTTTATATAGATTACACTAAAAACATTCGTGGGAAAGAACGAACATTGCTTGTTAGCACGGTGGCACCCCATCAGAAAATCTGTAGGGCTACTCTGGCGCGATGGATCAAAAGTGTTATGTTAAATTCAGGCATAAATACTACCATTTTCCAACCACACAGCACCAGGGCGGCCGCAACCAGTGCTGCTGCTAAGGCGGGTGTACCACTGCAAACCATTTTAAACACTGCAGGGTGGAAAAATGATTGTACTTTTAACATATTTTATAACAAACCAGTCGCGGTTGCCTCTCAGAGTTTTTCTAACTCGGTTTTGTCAAAGAAGAAATGAACATGTAGACTGTGAGAGTAATTGTGGGTTTTGTTATTAGCCTATTATTGTTTATTCATGATATGTATTGCTTGATTGAAGTTTTTGGAGATTATAGTATAGTCAGTCTGTGTTTTCTTTCTGCACATTTCCATTCATACATGTTTTATACTTGATTAAGTTTGTATGGTTGCTCTAGAGATGTCGACTCTAAAATCTCATGTGATCCTTCAGCATGGTTGATTTGAGAAAATTTATAAATTAAACGAGTTTTATTTATAAGACGATGTTTGATTATAGTTTTCTCAAATCAACCTTATGCTGAGGGATCACTTGCCCTCCCATCCCACCCTATGGGTGCATCTCGACATCTCTAGATCCTGCTCTGAAAACTGAAGTCACGTGACCCTCTACGTCATCTCAAGTGATCCCTCAGCATAAGGTTGATTTGAGAAAACTATAATCAAACATCGTCTTATAAATAAAACTCGTTTAATTTATAAATTTGACGAGTAGCTAAAGTTACCAAGGCATGGCCAGCTTTACAGTTCTTTTCTTGTGTTAATGTAGTGGTCCTGTCGATCTATTCTGTGACTAAACTGAAATGGACAGAATATGTCGGAGATAGTTTCTTAGTTCTGCCAGAAAGAATAGTCATATTCAAGTGGTCAGTGGTATAATTTCAGGCTTATTTGCAGTGGTAATTTTGTTGATATAAAGCAAAACGTTAGTGACTCAAACAGTGACGGGAACTGTGTACTGTAGTTGGGTTGGAACACTACAGTAAGTAGGTCAGAGAAAACCATCCGCTTCGGGGAAGAGTGCGGGAAGCACAATTTCAGCCAACAGAGCATCGTCAGAAAATTAATCAGAATATTTGTTATTAATTGTATACTCACAAAATACATGCATTGTTGTATTTTTCACATACATATGGCTAGTTAGAAAGTATCAAAATAAATGCTGTCTCTGCCTCTTAGTTGGCTAACCACAAAATGGCGTCATTCCGATATGAATGAAAATGCTAGGGTTCGCTGCCAAAATCATTTGCATATGAATGAAATGTGAATGAATGACATCCATATAAGGAAATATCAGCTACCATATCAGGACCGAAAGACTATATAATGTAATAGGTGGCGTAAGTATCTACTGTGCAATTCCACGTTAAGCAAATTTCGTAGTAAGGCCAATCCTCTAGACACCTGCATTACCTAGCGCATGGGTCAAAAACAAGGGGTAATATAGACGCCCCTTCCTATTAACATTAAGATAACAAGGGGCCTTAAACACACCTCTCCCTATTAGTTGTAAGAAAACAATGGGTCTTATCAAAACCCCTTCCTATTAGTTCTAAGATAGCAAAGGAACTTATAGAAACCCCTCCCTATTAATTCTAAGATAACAATGGGCTTTATAGACACCCCTACCTATTATCATTTAGATAAAGGGTCTTATAGACATCCCTCCCTATTGATTTTAGGATACATGTAACAAGGGGCTTTATAGACACCCCTACCTATTATTTATTAGATAAAGGGTCTTATAGACATCCCTCCCTATAAATTCTAAGATAACAAGGGGCTTTATGGACACCCCTCCCTATCAACTATAGGATAGCATAGGGTTTTCTAGACATCCTCCTTATTATTCTTAGAAAGCAAATGGACTGAAAGGCATCCCTTCCTATTAATTCAAAGATAACAAGGGGTCTTATAAAAATCCCTCCCTAATATTCTAAGATAACAAGGGGTGTTATAGACATGGGATCTTACAGTCCCCTTACCTTAATAATTCTAAGAAAACAAAGGGTCGCATAGACACGCCTTCCTATTAATTTTAAGGCAACAAGGGGCTTAATAGACACCCCTCCATATCAATTTTAAGATAACAGGGGTCTTTATAGACACCCCTCCCAATTAACTATAGGATAGCAAGGGGTCTTACAGACACCCATCCCTATTAATGTTTAGATAACAAGGTGTCTAACTGACACCCCTCCCTATCAATTTTAAGAAAAAAAAGGTCATATAGACTCAAGGTTCAAGTTTTCAAGTTTTATTCAAACTTTGGGCCATTGGCCTATCAGTATACAAAACATTTTTTAAACAAATCATGGACAATGTACAGAGGATGAAAACAATCATATTCCATTATAATACCCTTAATTTGTTTGCCTCATATATGAATTTTCCTAGTATACACAATTCTTTTATATTATGGATACTCAATAACTGGACGACTTTAAACACAGATGGTTGTTTACTATAATAGCTTTTGATAAAACGAGATCTGAGATTTTGGAATTAAGAACAGACCAATAAAAAATGAAATTCGTCCTCTAATTCAAAGGGGGAGTTACACTGTTTACAATATTTACGTTCTCTAGGTATATTATTATACCTTCCAACTTCTATAGCTAAATAATGGGTAGATGTACGTATTCGAAATAAACAAATGCGATATTTCTTTGGTATATATTTTGTGAGGTAAAATTGTAATGTTTCTCCAAAATCTATTATATGTTTATACAATAATCATTTTGGAGAGTTTTCCACTGTGGCCCTTAGGAATTGTATGCCTTGATAAAAAATTCTTTGTTTTATCAATGGTAATAACAAATTTTGCTGAGAGATACATGGATTTAACCAAACATCACTAAGACCTAGATCATTAAATTCATCTCTTACTGCTGTAGCCCAGTTGAAATAATTTCTACTACAACACTGTAATAAAAACCTATAGGAAGTTGATATAATACAATTTTCAGATTTTAATATCTTAAACCAATATTTTATAATTCTGATTTTTCTCATCCAAACTAGAGGTAACCGTCCCAATTCAAGATATACAATGTTGTTATTGGCCGATTTCTTCACTTTTAGTAGTTTCTTACAAAAACGTAAATGTACATGTTCTATATCTGGAGCTTTGTGCATACACCAAATTTCACCTGCAAAGAAAAGGATACTGCTTACATATGTATCGAAAAGGTGGAGCATAGTTTTTACATTTCAGTTTAATTATGAACACTTTGAAATAATGCAAACATAGCTTTTCGTCCTTGGCTAGCTAATTGATTTTGTATAGATGTGAATTTATTGTTGTAATTTTAAATAACACCTAGGTAAGGAAATTGATCCACACATTCAACCTTACTTCCTTTGTAATACCATTTTTCATCATTACGCAATCTTCCACCTTTTCTAAAAACTACATTTTTTGTTTTTTCAGCATTTACAGTTAAATTCCATTCAGTACAATAATTTTCTAAGTTATCAAGCATATCTTGGATACCTTCTACAGTCTCGGAGAATAATACTAGATCATCAGCATATAGTATCAGATATAAACTGAGTTCCTCAAACTCATAACTACCCTTGCAATTTTGTATAAAATATGATTCAAAATCATTTATATATAAGACAAAAAATATCGGTGACAGAATTTCACCTTGTAATAATCCAACCCTGTTAAGAAAAAAAATCTGAAAACTTTCCATCTAATTTAACACAAGATTTAACATGAGAGAACATAGACCTTACAACTTTTAATAGCTTTCCTCTTATACCAAGTTTTGATAGCTTATTCCTTAAATTCATTCTATTTACTATATCAAATGCTTTACGAAAATCGACAAAGCAACAATACAATCTTTTCTTATTAATAAATGATTTGGATATAATAGAATGTAAACAAAATATAGCATCTACTGTACTAAGACCAGGTCTAAACCCAAATTGAGCATCAGTTATTACATCATATGTTTCTGACCATTTTAAAAGTCTATTGTTTAAAACAGAAGTGAATCATTTTCCCAAACAACTTACTATACTAATACATCTAAAATTGTTAGGGTCAGTTAGGTCACCCTTTTTATGTACCGGTGTAATTACAGCAAATGCCCAGTCAGCAGGAT